CTGGCCAAAGTGGTCCCTGAGTAGCGCAACTTAGCTCTTCCACAGCACACTGGCCAAAGTGGTCCCTAAGTAGCGCAACTTAGCTCTTCCACAGCACACTGGCCAAAGAGGTCCCTGACTAGCGCAACTTAGCTTTTCCACAGCACACTGGCCAAAGTGGTCCTTGAGTAGCCCAACGTAGCTCTTCCACAGCACACTCGCCAAAGTGTGAGTAGCCCAACTTAGCTCTTCCACAGCACACTGGCCAAAGTGGCCCCTGAGTAGCGCAACTTAGCTCTTCCACAGCACACTGGCCAAAGTGATCCCTGAGTAGCGCAACTTAGCTCTTCCACAGCACACTCACCAAAGTGGTCCCTGTTCACCAAAGTAATCCCTGAGTAGTTCAACGTAGCTCTTTGACAGCACACTCACAAAAGTAATCTCTGACTAGTTCAACTTAACTCTTCCACAGCACGCTCGCCAAAGTGATCCTTGTTCACCAAAGTAATCCCTGAGTAGTTCAACGTAGCACTTCCACAGCACATTCACCAAAATGACCTCTAAGTATTGACGCCACATTCACCAATCTGATCCCTGAGTAGCTAAACCTAGCTTTTCCACAGCAAATTCACAAACTGATTTCTAAGTAGCTCATCTTAGCTCTTCCACAGCAACCACAGTTCTTAGTAGCGCAACTTAGCTTCTCCACAGCACATTTACCAAAGTGATTCCAAGGTGGTTGTAGAGTTGCAATGTACTTATCAAGCCAACAAAAGCTGCGTTTTTCTCACCCGTAGGCCTGTCGGTTGTTAGGTTTTTAGAACTTCGGACTTCAGTACGCCCGGTCGCCCAACTTAGCTCTTCTATAGCACACTCACGAAGTGGTCTCTGAGTAGCCCAACTTAGCTTTTCCACAGCGCACTCACCAAAGTGGTCCCTGAGTAGCGCAACTTAGCTCTTCCACAGCACACTGGCCAAAGTGATCCCTGAGTAGCGCAACTTAGATCTTCCACAGCACGTTGACCAAAGTAATCCTTGAGAAGCCCAAAGTAGCTTTTTCACAGCACGTTCACCAAAGGAATCCCTGACTAGCCCAACTTAGCCCTTCCACACCACACTCGCCAAAGTAATCCCTGAGTAGCCCAAAGCAGTTCTTCCATAGCACACTCACCAAAGTGATCCCTGAGTAGTTCAACGCAGCACTTCCACAGCATGTTCACCAAAGAGATCCCGGAGTAGCCCAAAGTAGCTCTTCCACAGCACGTTCCCCAGAGTGATCCCTGAGTATTCAAGCTAGCTTTTCCACAGCACGTTCACCAAGGTGATCTCTGAGTAGCCCAAAGTGGCTCTTTCACAGCACGCTCGCCAAACTGATCCCTGTTCACCAAAGTAATCCCTGAGTAATTCAACGTAGCACTTCCACAGCACATTCACCAAAATGACCTCTGAGTATTCACACCACATTCACCAAACTGATCCCTGAGTAGCTAAACCTAGCTGCCTAGCTCTTCCACAGCACATTCACAAACTGATTTCTAAGTAGTTCAACTTAGCTGGTCCACAGCAACCACAGTTTTTAGTAGCGCAACCTAGCTTCTCCACAGCACATTTACCAAAGAGATCGCAGGATAGTTGTAGACTTGTATTGTACGCAGTTTTTTTCTCACCCGTAGGACTGTGGGGCTGTTAGATTTTAAGAACTTTGGACTTCAGTAGACACGCTACTTCTGCACATCCACCAGAGTGGTCCCAGCGTAGCTCAGAGCAACCCAAAGAACACAGCACATCCACCAGAGTGGCCCACAGTGGCCCAGAGTAGCCCTTACACAGCACATCCACCAGAGTGGCCCCGAGTAGCCCGCGTAGCCTTTACACCAGCACATTCACCAGAGTGCTCCCAAGTACCAGTTCCACAGCATATCCACCACAAGTTGACTTGGCAGGGATGTGGGGTTGCCAGGCATTAAAAAATCGTAAGTATTCGATGTGTGGTTTTGTTTTCAATAAAGAATCCTTTTCGCGCCGAACCGCTTTTCTCTTGTGAAGACCAATTCTTTGAGGGTGGGGAATTTCGAAGTAAAGTAATTTAGTAAACCACAATTTTTAGTTTTATCTAGGGTAAACTGTATCTTGGGTTTGGTGGCTTCATTTTTAGAAACTGAAAAAACGTTCAAACATAAACAAACAATCGAAAAACAAAAAACATAATTAACAAACACAAATAACCTTAATTAAAACCACAAATAAATAAACATAATTAATAAATAAATTAAAACAAAAACAATTCAAAAAATGGAGAATGTGCTAACTTTATTTAGGGTCTCTTTGTTAATCAGGGCGCAACTTGGCTAACTTTATTTCGGGTCCCTTTATTAATCATAGGTCGACATAGCCGAGTTGATCGCATCGACTATTTGCATGCTCTCGAGCCTACAACATTGATGATCTAAGGCCTACAGAATTGCTACGGCAATGCGAGGAGTTGGCTTTCGATCAGCTGCTGCCGCGGAAAAGTCACGTAACTAGCCCCCAAAAGAGCTGTGATTACCTATCATCGCTGGTCATTGCTTTTCTGATGTAACTGCAGGATTTGCTTGTTCAATGTGTTCAATGCCTGTGGTGTGCAGCTGGGACTTTGTGCCTACTCAGGCCCCATACCACGGCCCAATACCGTTGGTTCGGGAGGCTTTTTGTAATACAGAGCCACTTGGCTAAAGCATGCTAAAGCTTTTAGTGCCAAGGACCGTGCCAAGAAAGTGTGTATGGTACATCATGATTTTCTTCAAACGCACATGTTCAGCAGATCTTCCAGCCATGAATCATGAGCCTTGACCTTTTGCGGCCCAGAACGGAAGGTTTCCCCTTCAACGAAGATGATGCGGGTGTGTGGTGTTGCTGTCGCTGGTTGCAGGTTCAACGCATTGATGAAAGCCTCAGTAAGAATCAATAAGAACCTGGCATATCCTGGCATGATTACCCCTGATACTCATTTGGAAAGCGCAAGGGGGAATGCTTCAGTGACACTGCAAGCTGATGTTGGAGTCTATTGGAGTCTGCTTTGAAACTGAGATGCTCAGATTCGTGGCCGACCTGCCCGGTTTGACCCTCTCCCGTCCACATGCATAGCACGTAGCAACAAAAACCGCGATATGCGTCGTTGCTGAGGTGCATGGGCTCCACGACCTTGGTTCTAGTGCCTCAGCAGCAGGTGGCCGTGCATGGTTCTGGTGAGGCTTTGATTCGGCGCATCGAAAGAAACTGAACGATATTGCACGCATTCGCCTCAAGCGAGAGAATGTTTGGCCCCAATCACTTTCAGATCGAGCAACTTTTGGCTTCTGAGGCGTTACTTGACAATTCCACCCGCATCCATGGCAAGCTGCACCCGATGATTGCTGCCGCTTGCCCAAGCTTGCAACAGTGAGCTTCATTTTAAAACTTCATTTTACGGGAGTAGATGCAGAACGGACATTCCAGGGAGAGAGACTCTAGACCCGGCCTGTTGTCAGCCGGGCCAAATCTCCTCTTCGAGAGGGGCTCACATACTGTGTTTGAGCTTAGTCCACCAGCAGTGAGCTCCGGAAGGATCACAAGGCCACCGCCTTCTATTCCGCACAAACACCAATAAAAAAGAGAACGGAAAATCCGGGAGACTTACATTTGGAAAAACACCACAACCAAAAGTAAGGCGCAACCTTAACCTTGGGCACAAAACACAGCACCAGACAATTCCAATCTCAACGCAAACACAAGGATATCGATTAAATCTGAACACGGCAGAAAACACAAGACCTACAGTTTTGGAATCCATTCTAGAAACGAAGTGATGGCAAGGGCCGGACTCGAATGTCACGTACTGGCATCCCAAATGTCCTGCCTGTTTCCAGGTGATCTCAATTGGAGATTGTGAGCTGGTGATTTTGCACCCTGGCTTTTTGAAGTAAAATCTCGATTCGAGCGTATTTTGACATCGGAGCAGATCTATTGAGTCCCTAGATCGAAGTGCAGTGCGTCACCATTGGAGGCGTCGGTTGCAGGGCCGGTCTGGGCCTTTGGAATTGGTTTTCCACACTGAGATGCAGCGGGTGGATGGTCATTGTCAGACACCCTTGCAGCTGCTTGGATCCCATATGATCTCATGAGGGACGATGCTGTTCCGAGTTTGTCTCAGTTTCTTCAAGGATTCAATGAATTTCAATACTCTTTTTAATGCATTTTTGTTGTCCTGCGTAGTTTGAGCATCCTTTTCATAGCCTTTGCTGCCCTCCATGTGAATCTTGTGGACCAGGCTTGCTCGCGTGGATGAACGCATTGACGCGCAGTTCCATGAGCCTTGTCGCACAGCAATGATCAGCTGTGCCAGCTCTGATTCTAACAAGCCTTTTTGGTGGAATGTTTTTTTCATTATTTTTCGAGTTGCCTTGTCAGACAGACCTAAGGACAGCATCACCGTCGAAGTGATTGAGCGTGGTAGCGCTGTTCACTGCATTTCCGCGTATGCAGCGCGGCATAGTGTGGCAGTAAAGTTTGAATCACTTGGTTGAAGTGTTCTTTTCCACACCTTTCCTGATTTGTTCCTTTGGGCTGCATATGGGACATGCTGCAGGCGCTTGATTCCACCAAGACCTGCCAAGGAAGGGGACATTGTGATTGTGGGCTCAGATGGCGTCTTCGACAATCTTTACTTGGTTCCTGGGCAAAAGTCGTTATGCATTCAATAGACAAGCAGTCAACCTGATCAGAGACCACACGTGTCCCAATTCGTGAGTTCTGACACTTGAAGGGCATCCATGTGACGTAGTAACAAGGAAGCTACTAGGAACAAGTGCCACGCTAGTAGTAACAGGTGCCTTACTAGTAGTAACAATGTTTGCTATTAGAATCGAAGTTTGACATGGGGAGCTCTTGCATCCCCTGATGGGCATAAGACTTTCCAATACTTGCCTGGGTGCCACACTGGCTCATGCTAAATTGTTACTAAATTGTTATATGGTTTGCTGCACTGAGGATGAAGTCGCAGCCATCGCAAACACGGTGTTGCCTCCGTCGTCTACACAGATGCTTGCCAAGGATAGGACATGTACAAAGACATGCCACTAGAGTCACTAAAGGCTGTCACACATTTCAATCATGTCCTTCCTTCTTTTGGTTTAGTCAGACCATCGCACTGCCTTTAATACAAGACACACGGCGGATGACGCATGCATATAATTGCATATATATACACTGGGTGGACGTTTGAGGGATTTTTTATTTTTTTGTATTTCTGCAATCTTTTTACCTATCAACAGCTCGCCCTTTACTGTAGAATTTCGGCTCAAATTAAAATCACGTGATAGGTGGAACCTGACAGACAAACTCCTGAAATCAGGAGTTTGTCTGTCAGGATTTGGTGCGGTCCACAGTGAGAGGGGGGGGGTAGGACATAATTTTTAATCAGAATTAGAGTCATTCATTTGCCATTGCATGAATTGTCAGTGTCATGTGTCATGTGAAGTCATGTTTCCTGTTGAAATCGTGGGCTCCGTTTGACTTGAGGCTGTCTTCATGTCTTGGTCAGCTGCCCAGGATCACATGCCATGTGCCATATGCCTCAGTTTCACGCATTCTGATTCGAGTCTAGAGCCACTTGTCACTTGACAATGAAAGAGTCAGTCAGAAGATTGCATTAGTGGTAGATTCGGGAGTGCTTCATTCAATTGACATTGTCACATGCCACATGTCACACTGTTGAGGTCCGACCGGGTGCTTTCTTCAAGGACTATGTCAGAGAAGGCGAGATTGAGATCGAGTCATTTTGTGCAACCACTTGTCAAGCATTTTAAACTTGCAAACATGTGACAAGTGAGAAACATGTGTCATGGTGACAGTTGACAGTTGAGCTGCCTTTCAATGATATTCTTGGATCAAGTTGACACATGAGGCGTCACAGTCACATGTCACATGATTCCAACACATGACACATGCCATGTCACATGCCGAGTCACATGTCACATATCATACAATTGCCATCGTGAATGGACGAGTACGATCAGCCATCGCGTGCTGAAGAGATCCTGGAGGACGAGGGGATTGACACCTCCGTGTGCACGGAGAAGATGCTCGATTGCACTGGGTGCTTTTGTGACTGTGTTCGGGTTGTGTTTGCGAGCATGAACTTGATTGAACTCAGGAAGTGCGTGTGGGTGCCTTTGCCGAAGTTTAACCCCCTTGATCATTTGTCATGTGTCATGTGTCATGTTTGAATCATGTGTCATGTGTCACTTGCTCAACCCTCTTGATCTCAGGCACTTTATTTGCTTCATTTGGCAGATAAAAAGGCTGCTGTGAATTTGGTGTGTCTTGGCAGCGCTGTGGACATCTGAACCGGCTCATGCTCACAACTCATTGAATGTTTTTGAATTTTCGCCTTGCCAAGGGCTGCCTTCAAGAGAGCTGAGCCAACTGACAAGTCTGGCTACATTTTGAAGGGTGTTGAGAATGCACTCAGACAGACTCCTGGAATAAATCATGTGCTGTGTGTGTGTGTGTCGCTGTGTCAAACTACTTATTATTGTAAAATGACATGTGGCTCCTTGCTTGTCGTGTCTTTTTAGCAGCTGAGGTGTGACACCGTCGCAGCCTCCCTCCGACAAGCCGGCCCATCCAAGTAGCATATGGGATGAGGACTATTGGAATGATGTACCACCTCAGGTTGACGATAGTCACATTCCTGCTGCATTTGCCAATCGCCATGTGCCAGTGCCAAACAGCCCATGGCAAGATCCCAGCACTGCGTCTCGACTGATGTTTCAAATTGGCTTGCGCGTCAACTGATTTGTCATGTGTCATTTGTCACACCATTGTCATACTTTGCTGCTGAGGTGGACTGGGGCAAGGCGTGGGAGACCAAGACCGTCGTCACGCCAAAAGGTACGTCAGTGGCCTGGTCCTCGCAACCCATCCTGGTTGTGGCATATGGCGCAAGTGACAAGTGCCTGAACCAGGCTCATGCTGGGGATGTTGCTAAGTCTGAGTGTTTCATCTTTGAGTCTTTGAATGTGCGTTTTCATATACAGAACTCTTAGCTCATTTTGCCATGTGCCAGATTGGCTGCACGATCAACCCTTGCCATATCCACACGGTGGCTGATCTGGATTTGGCCCTCGGCTTCAAGGAGTCCGAACGTTGGGAACACCGCCTTGCGCACTTGTTGCACACGTCCAAAATGCCACCCGCTTGCATTTGAGTTTGCGCACGTAAGATGTCACATATTTCAAATTTCAATGTTTTATGTCACATGATCATTTGCATTGACTGAGGTCACAGGAGTTTTGCTCACGTGAAAGCGGTGTCACCACTGCAACCATGAGGGAGGTGATGTCACATCCTGACTTCCTCAATGTCATCGAGGACATTTTGTGCTTCCCGACCCGGGTTGTGCGGAGTCTTGACTGCAGCGATTGACACGTGACAGGTGGCCAGGTGTTGCTAATCTGTGTTAAAATGTGCTGTCAAGAGACACGTGACAGGTGGCCAGGTGTTGCTAAACTGTGCTAACATGTGCTGTCAAGGTGCTGCTGTTCGTCTGGCTGGCATCGTGCTCCATGCACCGCCACTGTGGTATATGCCATTTTGAAAGTGCCTGGACTCTATTCGAGGGGTGAGGCATGATGACACATGATTGAGCCATCTGAGATTCAATATTAAAATTGTTTACAATGTGCTTCAACTAAGGCTTTTGGCTGCCATGTTCTCATTGGGTACCAGCAGTTGGTTTCCGAGCGTCAATTTTCACAGATGTGCGTTGGCATGCACGCTTTCTACAATGAACAGGAGACACTGAAGCATAGCTCAATTAAACTGATTCTGCTTTGGTCCTGTTGCGTGAGGATTCCTTGGGTAAATTGTGACTCGATTTCGATTTGTCATTCGGCTAAGGGAGAAGGCTCAGCTGTGGTGTTTGCCACCTGCCATGTGGGCCAATGCCGCTGGAAGTTTGGAGAATGTCAGCATCAAGGCGTTGGAGATCTTTGTAGACTCATGGAACCTGCACCGGTGCCTCGCCAGCTATGATGTGACGCATCGCACGCATTGCTGCCATTGTTGTTCATCGCTGTTGATGTCCCATCTTCCAAGGAAATATCAGCATGTGATTCCGCTGATCGAGATGCAGGATTCTGTGCCACCTGCGCAAATGGCATCTTGTCTCAACCGATTATACGGTTCGGTTGGTTCAATATTGTCACATGTCACATGTCACCATTGATGACTTAAATGCGTGCTGTGCAAGGCATCTGTTGCAACTCCGGCGCAGGCAGCTCCAGCACAGCCACCAGCACCGCCAGCTCCAGCACAGCCACCTCGTCCATCACAGGCAGCTCCAGCACGGGCAGCTCCCTCACAGGCAGCTCCAGCACAGCCACCTCCAGCACAGGCAGCTCCAACACAGGCAGCTCCAGCACAGGCATCGGCGCCATGCAGTGAGGTGACAGGTGGCCAACCCAGCCCAGTGGACCAGGCATCCAGCCAGCAGGCATCCAGTCACCAGGAATCCAGTTACGTGCCGGGTGACTACGTGCCAGGTGACCAGGCTGACATTGCCAACGCCCCTTGGAGGAAAAGGTTCAGGGTTCCAGGGCCACCACCAGGACCACCTCCTCCTGAGAACATGCCACATGCGTGGCCTTGGCGTGGTGATGATTGGTGGCACAGCTGGTCCGGCGGCTGGTGGTCTGGCGACTGGTCAAGTGGCTGGGAGTCACATGCGTCACATGCCAATTGGCATGATGACACACGGCAGGATGATGTCAATGTGGAGCAGCAGGACCAGAACCAGGACCAGGTGGCACCTGACAATCCTGCCGATGTGACACATGATGGTGACGAGCCAGATGCGCCAGAGTCGCCAGAGTCGCCAGAGGAACCACGGCCACCTTCGCCACGTGGCCCGATGAACTGGCTCCAGGATGATGAGGTGTTGCATCTCGATGGCAAGTTAGATTATGTCAGTCAGTCATTTGTCATTTGTCATTTGTGATTTGTCAGTGGCATGCATTTTTAACTTAGGGAAGAGATCTACGCCTACTACAATGTGTCACCATCCGTCGCTTCCAACTTGACACCATTGCCATTTGTCACCAAGCTCAAAATATTGCTACTTGGCTCCACTAGTGACGCGAGACATTTGACAAGTGACGCGTGACATTTGACAAGTGACAAGTGACGCATTGCCTTTGCTGATCGGCAGGAGTCGGCTGCTGTACAAGATTCCCAAAGATGACACCGACTCATTTGACGCTTGGTTGATGAACGCTATCAGCAACTCGGCTATCAATGGGGCTGATGTTTTAAACAGACAGACAGACAGACAGACAATGAACCAAGTGACAGTCGAGAGACAGGTTTTCTTTGACGGAGGCAACGAGAAAGCATGGCTTTGGGACCAGGGCATACTGCGATGATAGCCAAAGTTGCAGCAGACGGAGCCAATTAGAGCTGTGGTGGCAGTGGCCATTTGCCACGTGTCAACTTGCCACGTGCCACCACCAGCAGCCGCACTTGAGTAGTGTCTAAAACTAATTTAATGTAAGATTGTCTTTTTGGTACATGCGGCTGTGAAATCGAATCAGCGCACGTTTTGGCAAATGGGATTGCGAGGCATGCATTCACTTGAGATTCAAATTTCACATGTTCAACATGTTTCAGTGAAATTGTGTACAGTCAGTGTCATGTGTTTGCATCTTGCAGCCCAAAGCCCGTTCATTGCCGCTGATTGCCTCAAAAAGAGTCTGAGTGGAGTGGCGGACTGACTGAGTCAAATGTTTGTGTGACATCATTGACAACTGATTGCATGACAATTTAAGCTGTGACTTCCATTGAACCAAACGGACAGGCCTGGTGGCAGTCAGATGCAAAGCAGGGAACTCAGGGTAGCAAGGGGGCTGACATGCAATCAGTGAATGTTTTTGTTTTTATCACAATGACAAGTCTTTGGTGTTTCTTTGCGTTTCTTTGCATCGATGTTCAATGTCCAGATGAGTTTGAGTCAGTCAAATTGGGCACGAGGCTTGAACTTC